ACGATTTGCGTGCGTATCTTACTTGACAAGTGCACGTATCAAAGTAAAATTGGGTTTTATCATCTATGATTCTTCTGTTGCTCTTTTTGCCTTCAGTGTGAGAGAGAGATATAAATGGGGTTTAACGTCCACTCGGAACAAACTAGGTCATTTCGGGACTAACACATGGTTCAGTCTTTAGCAGTGGGAGGAACTCGGAGGACCCGAAGATAAACAACGAGGATGGACAGGCTACCCTACTCTATGCCACGTGCAACCGAGGAATCGAAACCACGCCAGATGACCCAATGACAGATCTTACGATAACTATTCGCCCCCACCCTCTGCCTTCAGTGTACTGTTAATAAGAGAGATAAAGGTTGCTGGTCAAAAGATCGATGGGTTATTTAGAATTGTAAGTAGCTTAGTAGCTTTTATTATTTTACCGTCGCAAATAATATGTTGTCTAAAATGTTTGGCTTCTTAACTTGTTTTGATTGAAGAGTATTTTATTATTCGTCCGCGGTAAAACAACTTTTGAAAATAGAAAACTGTTTATTTTATGTTTCTTGCTATTTAGCTTCATTCTTTGTGTATAATAATAACGCCATAATGTTATTTTTCGTGTTTCTACAGAAAATAAATCTAGCACCAAACCATTTGCAGAATTTCGTGACTGTCACGATTAAAAATCTGCGTGTGGAAAGACATTAATATTGTAAGTGACATTTGGGTGGTTTGTTGTTTGTAAAAATATACATTTCCTTACATTCTCCTTAAAATGGAATGAAATATAATATTGTACACTTTGATCATAATATCGGCTCTTGATAAAAACCAGAATACAATAATTTACGCAATAAAGGGGTAACCGAAGACGTAAAAATATCCTTTAAACTAAAAGATATATTAGGATAAAAGTTTATGGGGATATATCAAACAAAGCCCAGATTGTGAGTATCATGTTGATATGTGTAACCTGCAAAACAAGTTAACGGAGATTCGTATATGACATTTAATTCATTATCTATAGTATTAATATAACCTCTACCTTTTATAGCTCACGTTATGAAAAGAATCGCCTTTATTTAATTAACAAATTAACACGCCGGCAGTGATCTCAGATATAGGAAGAGGTGGCGGTCACTAGAACTACTGTCGTACTCTAACGTGATTGCAGTTGACTGGACATTAAGAAGCTGGTGGATCACAGAGAAACGCTGATACATGCTTTTATTTTATGATCAGTAGTGGAATAACGCGTTTTATCAGAGAAATAAAAGTGTTATTCCACTGGCTAGCAGTAGTCCATGTTGTTTTTACCTAAAATGATTGTAAAATCATAAAATAAATAGAACATTTGTCGTTTTGTCGTGAATAACATATTTTATTTCATCTCTAAGCAAGAAAACGTTTATATTTTCACTCATGCTACGCATTCGTGAAAATATAAGTTTTCTTGCTTCTCGATGAAATAAAATATGTTATTCACTCTAAAACGACAAATATCCTCTATGTATTAATATGTGCAGCAGGTTTGTTTATTTATATGCACTTACTAGCAGTACTGACAAGCCTGGACAGGCTGATGTTCTCCTTTTATTTTGTATACCAATACAATTCCTATCATTACTTTTAGAAAGCAGTAACTTTGAATATTCAGTTTCAATTTCAAATAATACAATTATCTGGCTGCAATATGATTCGATACCGAATTGTTTTGAGAGTTCTAACCTTTAATATTAAATCAACAAAGGAAAAATTGTAGCCGATTTTGTAACACATGAACTAAATACGTTTTAATTAATTTAGTTCTAGATAATCATTTTGTCCGAATTTGAAGTCTGAGTTCGATTGTAGCACAGAAGCTAAACTTTTGCATTTAGTTATACAACTCGGAAGCTCGATTGTCAAGTAGAAATGTAGTAAAACACAATCCCAGATGTTTCTTTGTCCCCACGCAGGGGTCTATTAAAATAGGTTTTTCTCAGCCCTTCTGTCAATCACACGTTTTTGGGACACAATAACTCTGCATCTAATTGAGATAGAATGTTCTGGTGTAGGAGTTCGGTAATGAGCATTTTCTGATTATGCTAAGCACGGATCAGCAATTTGATTGGTCGATACCCCGGAATTCAATAACTATGTTTCTACACAAATTGCGTGACAGTGATGCCACCTGGTGTATAGTTTTGTTACATCAATACCCTCATTAAGTTGGATAATAAGTACCGGTATTGATTGCTTTACAAAAAGTATGTTTTATGAAAATAATTTAATTGAATAGCTTACCGATAAGGGATTTCTCACCAATATTGTACACATAAATTTAATTTTCCAACTATCAAACGAACAAGTTTTATGAGTTGGTATATTATCCTAACCTGTCATTTATCAAAAATCACATTTTACGTCTGTTTATTTAAATTTGAAATAAGTTTGGCGTTTTATACATGGAGTGTATAGCGTTTATGGTTCATATAAAATAGAGATAATAAACGTCTTTGTTCTGTACTCTATCATAAATCAAGAGTTAACCATGTAATCCAGTATCGTGTATCATAATAAAAAGAGTTACCCATGTAATCCAGTACGTTAATTCAGCATGTAGGTGTTCCTGGGGTTTTATTAAGGAAACTGTGTCAGAGGAATGTTATGTTAGATAAACTGTAGAGGTTGTGATGAACAACAGCATGCGAGCCGTCTGGTTAGAACACAGATTTATCGCAAGTTAGACCTGTGTGAGGCAATATGGCGCTAATAATTCACAACTAACTTATTACACTGATAATTATATATTGGCAATTTATACAGTCAGCCATCTGCTTAAAGGAACGAGACCACTTTTTTGAAAGAGATATTTTATCCACTATAATGGAAGATCATCAGGGAACAAACAAAATGCGTATGTCAGACCACTATGTTAATTGGTTCAGCGTTGCTGCATGCTCCAATCGACTCAATGTTCATGTCTATCAATGAAGCGAAAACTGACCTGTTTATTTTTTTTTTAGTTATTATTTGACATAATCTGTCGATAGCTGAATATCAATTCAGTTTGTATTTCAACATTGATTCTTGCTGTACACTTAAAGTAGCTAAGTCTCTAACTCAATATCATCCAAAATCTTCAACATTGAAAACACGATTTATTTGTAAAATTAAATCAACATTCATGTTGTGATCTTACCGGAAAAAGATGGGCTTTTGATATCCAATATTAAAGACAAAATAAACATTTTATCATTGGTACACGAATCGTGTACCATAATGCGCTTCAGCCCCAGTTGTATCAAGAGACTCGAGGGACGAGGCTAGACACATTGCACCAAATCAAAGGGCGTATGTAGACTGGAATAACCAGACGCTAGAAATTTGCACTCGCTTGAGACTGCTGGCTTATTTCGCCGAACATAACTGATTTGAAATTGGAGTAAAAACGGAAACCATTGAATGTAAATCAGTTTATATACTTTCATATTACAGTATTATATGCGTTGCGACCCACTTTTGTCAATTTCTAGGTCCCAAATGTTAGCGATTTAGCTCCTTTAACATTTTAAATGTAGACAGTTAACTACTTCACAAAACAAATCAATTTATCAAATTTTTAAATGTAGACAGTTAGCCACTTCACAAAACAAATCAATTTATCAAATTTCTAAATGTAGAAAGTTAGCCACTTCACAAAACAAATCAACGCGTCAAATTTTATATGAAGACATACAGCCACTTTGAAAAAACAAATCAACATATCAAAACTTAAATGCAGACAAGTGGCCTCTTCAGAAGACAAATCAATAATATTTCAAACTGAATTAAATCGACAATTTTATTTTTAAAGGAAATCAAAGAGGGATGGTCTTTTTAACGTATGTACAGGTCTGCTTTTCCCGAGAAATACGACCTGCTTGTTTACTTAAAATCATTTTTGCTTTAGTTTATTATATAATGCTTTTTGGTTCGATTTGAAAAAAATCTCAATCGTACTGTCGTTCATCTCGTGTACCACTATCATCACAAAAACGTCTAAAAGATACAGTTTCATCTCTTATATACATATAAATATAACCGAGTTTGCTTCCCGGGGATTTCTCCGGGTACTCCTGTTTCCTCCGACTGCTAATGACCACTAGGCGCAAGCAAATTATTAAAAATAAAATTACGTTATAGTCGCGAAGTGACCTAGTTTAAACGCCAGTTCTTTCGCGCGCTCTCTTTCTAAACACTCTAGTTCTCTATCCACCTTTTAATGCCAAATTCTTTACATGCGTGTATTAGTCCTGTCGAGTTTTTGTTTTAGTCAATTTCCATTGTTTTCTATAACTAGCACACGGTTGTCTGGTTATTTTCATTGGAATTGAAAAATACATGCCAAAAACATAATGGTCTAAATTATTTGGCCATTTAAAGTTTACATTAGTTTAAATTACAGATAAAGTAATAGTAATCATATGCCAGTCAATTCTTCGTGGCTACTTCTTTTTATACTCAGAGGTGCTTAATACACAATGAAATGGGGTTATCGTCGACTCGACACTATCCAGGTTTTTTCGGGACTAACAGACCTCGTGTTCAATATCCCCCACCACCACCACCTGCGCCCTAATACACATACAAAACGAAATCGAATGAATATATTTGCGGGGTTGAATGTGTGCTAAGCCATTGTTTTTTTTGTAAAACTGAAGTTAGGTTTGCGTCTGAATTATTGTCACATACTGTAACACACGACTGCAGATACACACAATCGTATTAACTCTTCTAGTCATTAATTAACTAATTGAAAAATTTTACAGAATTAATCCCATTACTATCAATCATGCTCTTAGAAGAAGATTTAATTTTGAAATTCATTGATTGCATTAGCTTCCAGACTCGTCTAGTTTGTGTTTGTTCAAAAACTAGTTAATCTGTCCAAGTTCTTATTCCCGAGAGTGACAGGTTGTTTACGGTAGTCCTCGAGAAGTAATCTGACCATGTGACACTGATATTGTTTTCTGCCTATTCTGACTATCACTGCCACCGCGTACTGATAATGGAACCCTGGTCATATGTAGTCAGTTGAGTTGGCAAGCTTGGCTTCTGCTTTACGCGTATTACCACTAAGCCTATCGGGCGGAATCAGTGATCAGTTAACAGAATGTGTTCAGTTTCAATTTCACGTTGAACAAACCTAGGTGTTTTGTTTTGATGACAATCTGCCTTCTAACCATCTAAATTCTTTTGTTCATAAAAGACTGAATGCGATAGAAATTTTAAGTTTTTAGCTGGACGAAATGTGCGCTTAATATAATGTTAGTATGACCTGTGGAACATTCGAATATCATATTGGAAAATATTTCGCCGTAAGGTAAGGGAAATAATAAGCTTGTTTTATGTTTCAATACCAGTTCAACTTCTTCCGATAAACATTAATACTTGTTATAATACTTCATTAGAACTATGCTGTTTCAACTACATTTAAAAAAAATATATATATATAACTGATTTATCTCATAGAGATCTCTGTATTTCATTTGGATTCCGGATGTTTTCAATCACAGGTTTTTATATTTCCATTTGGCACTTGATGTTAACAATCATTTTATCTAACAATTAGTTTTATCAAAAATAACGGTGAATAATGAAATACTTGACGTTACTGTAATTAATTACCGTTCTTGAACTGATCAAGAATTTCTCTTGATTTTATAATGTATGTACATCAAAGAAAAAAGAGAATTTTAAATTTAGTCTTAGTGGCTAGTAACGAGTTTAGAGAGAGAGAGAGAGAGAGAGAGAGAGAGGGGGGGTTAACGCCCATTCGACACAAACTATATCATTTAGGGACTAACATATTAGGTTCAATTTTGTATTTAAAAATTCGCTTCCGCTGTGGGATGATCCAGAGAAAACCCACGAGGTTAGGCATGCGACGCTACTCCTTGTCACGTACAGGCGGAGAATCGAATCCACGCACTTGACCCAATGACAGACCTTATGATTTAGAGCGCTAGTGGTTCCTGACAGGGAACAATTTCTAGTCCTTCCGATAGAACAAATATCCAAGGTCCCGTACACTTTGACCTACAGGTAAAAGCACCCTTGGCAATTGGAATTCGACGAAGAGTAGGCAGAAACGCCAATATCCTGAAATGATTTACCTTATAGAACACTTCATGGCGTATGCCCGTTAAACCCCATTTCATGTCGAAAAGTACAACGGAGCTCCAAAGAGTTGTAAACCACAGTGGTGAAAGTTTGGAAGAGTTTTTCACAAAAAATTACCCAGTTTTATTGACTAAAATATATCTGTGACAGCCCCCTATTAAATAGAAAGAAATTTAGAGTGTTAAAGGGCGCATGGCTCTATTCTTTGGAACCTTAATATAGACAAAAATGGTTCTAAACTCATATAATATAATGTACTATGGATGTATATAAAGGGATTTATATTCAATTTCTAATCAAGTTATGTTCGGTGAAATACCTGAACTGTCCAAATTGAACGCCATTAGTTTAAGCCTGCTTAGTCCATTCTACTTCTTTTTTTATTATTATTTTGTCGTTTTTGAATCAGTCATTACTAATTACTTCCCCATTGTCGAAAATGGGTCTAATAGCATGTATGAATGTAAATATGAATGTTTATAAAGTGTTCTATATCCAATATTGAGTTTGTGGTTTAGTTTCTTTAATTAAACGTATTATAGTGGTTATTTGTATTGCCTTTCAGTAAGGTAAGAAAGGTGCGCTACAGTATTAAAATTAGACTGAAGCCTAGGGCCTTAAGATCTCCAGCCAAGGTGTTTAATATTTTTGACATTGCCATTGGCCTTTCTTAGACGCACTGCTGTCTTAAACTCCTGGCATCATTGGTTTTGATCAATTGTGTTTAAAACACACTTTCATCTGCCTCTATAGTCGTCAGAGTTGGGGATTGGGAGGGGTCTGATAGCAAGGCCCACTTTTCATATAAATCATCCCTTGACTGAATGACAAACGTAAAGTTTTATATTGATTTGATCCAGCCGAAAGTTATTGTATGAGCTTGATTACCGTTAGTGGATGTAAATATAGTTGCTAATTCTGGTTGAGCAACCGAGGGCTCGCTATAGTAGTTCATAAAACGTACTTGAAATAGATTGGGTAATGTAGCGATACCAGTACTTTAAGAATAGATTGAATCAAGGCGAATTAAGGCACAGATTCATTCATACTCTCTGGACGTCTAAATATAATAGTCACGACAGTCGTCATAATAATAAAAATCAATACACATTACATGCGATGACACATAGGTCGTATCATAATATCACGATATATGTCAAATATCGCTATTTATGACAATGTCAAACAAATAGAGGATTGACAGATATAGCTGTTTACCCCCACCCCCTCTCCTTTAGCCCCCTGGATTATAATAATCTACGTTAGATATACGCCATCGTGTTTTCTACCGTTTAGTTTCTTTCGTTGATTGTCTGTTCGTTAGTTGTATGATCAATCGATTAATGGTGACAATGAGTGGATAGATAAGCATTATATTTACCCTGTAGTAGAATTCTGTCGCTTATTGTCATTTTACACGACGCTGAATGTTTATTTTTTCTCATTATTTGTCATTCAAGGCGTCGGTTAATATTTGTTTGAACGACATACTTATAGTCGAAGGCATTGTGTTGTCCAGATCCAACAACAAAAAAATGGTGGCATTGATCACAAAACTGTTTCTTTTTATGTTATTTTAGGCACAACAAACCAGATTGACAACCACGCTACTTTTGAGATATATGGTTAATAATCACAGTCTATAAATTTCGTAACAAAAGGCATAGCTCTGGAATTGAATATTTTCGAAAAATTAACATTCTTTTTGATTATGAGATAGACAACCCATATCAATCTTAAAAATATGATGTACTAGAAGAATGCCCGGCTTCGCTCGGGGGTCATAACCCCGAAACCGGAAGTGGTAGACTAACGCCACCTGGCCTATGTTACTCCCCGGTCCGAGCTACCCCTATACCCCAAATTTCAGACCTGGGGCAGACCTAGTGTAGCCGCCAACCCCGAACAGACAGACAAACAGACAGGCAAACGACAGTCACAAATAGATGAATTATTTATAGCCACAGTTGTGCTATTGAGAAACGTGGACGACGGAAGGACTGGGTGACGGCAAAATACGACCACGTATACGTATGGGCGTATTAAAAAAAATTGGGCTGGCTTTTACCCAATACAAGATATTGACAGTGTTAAAATCTCTTAGACTTAATACGTGATACACTTGGATAATTTGACTGTGTCTTATTCTTTATATTTAACCTTTATTTTGAGGTTTGATTTTATTCGTACTGTCAAAAATTTGATTTCATTAGATAATTAGACAGGACCGAGGGAGCAGAAATCAGATATTGGCTGACATCACTTATGGACTTAAATTGCCGATTCAAATCAGTGAAAAGTGACTATTGTCCATAGCAACTAATTAATAGCAACGTTCGTGGTATGATCTAACTTAAATACGAAGCGATGTAATATCCACGTAATGACTTTAGGGACTGTATAAACAACATCGAAAGAGAATAATAATTAAATATAAAAACGCCACAAGGAAGTACATAACAAATAGTCATGAATTTGTCATTTCCTAAACGTTTACAATTTATAGTGCTATAAGAATGAATCACGACGGGGGGCAGCACGCAATATATTTCAATTTCCTATTGGAATTGCGGTGGGATCACCTAAAGAAGATTATTCTATAGAAATGACACACTAATAAATTGGCGATTGTTGGTGTTTCAATTTTTAGTCTGCGTAGAAATTAATTTCCGTGTATGCTTTTGTTGAAGGAGATAAGTTGACAGTTGATGTATTATCATCCTTATTGTCCTTTTATTTACACGCCTTGGTACTGGCTCTTTGTGCCATATTCTAATATCGTCTTTCTCTACTAAGAAGGTAAATGTATTCGGCCTTGGTATTTTCTGGGCAAGCTTACCGATAACATGACAGATTTATACACAGTATCTAACAGTCCATTGTCGTTTGCATTGTGTTTAGTGAAAAGGAAATTAATGCAAAACAAGTAAGATTAGAAGATAATGTAACGTTTGCTTACATGCTAGTACCGATTACATTATTGGCCTGGTTTATTTGTTAGTATACCATTCATTATCTAGCATTAAAGGCACAACAGGCCATAATCTTTAATATGTATATCTCAGAAGTATTTTAATGCAAATGCTGTTATCATGTAAGTAATAAAATACATTGCGAATAACGGCTAAAAATAGAAGAATTCTTATTGCTTTATTTAACTGGTGGGGTAAAACTGGTTATGTTGGAATAATTTTTAACCATAATTTTGTTCCATTGTGTGTTTAGTCTTAAACTGTATATTTCAATTTTTTCTGGCATGTCTGCGCTTAATATTCGGAATACGAAGTACAGGTCCTTTTAAATTTGATTAACGTATTCACGTTGTGGGGGTAACTTTAACCAAAAACACTTTAACTCATAACGCCCTAGTCTGCCAAAAGATTAGTACACCGGATTGACTATTGTTGACACTATTTTAATACTACCAGAAGTTAATGAAAACGGGTAGGAAATATAAAACGTCTGATGGTTCCCTTTAACATGAAAGATTATTTTGGAGCAAAGATTTCTCTTTGAACATGGAAGACAATTCTCTAAGACCGGCTCTAATTACATGTAGTTATACACGTTATACAAAACGCGTGCCCCTTTAATATGGAAGATAGTTTTTAAACACAGATTTATACTAAAAGAAATGATTAGGCATTAAGTTACTACACTACATTCAATGACACACCAGAGAGGAGATGAAATAATTTCACTGAAACAGATTTACCCTATCAGAATACTTTTATTTTTACATATTATTTAAATACGAAATATTAGTAATAGATTATGTATTGATGTAACTGATATTACATTAGTCCAGGGGAATTTAGGATGTAATTAAGAATTTAAACATTGTTAAACCCTAAAGATCTTCTTGATAATCAGGTATATAATCTACACCATCGAATCATTTATGGATAATTCTTCCATACAGTCACCTATTGGCCTTTCAACAACAAACCCATAATGCCATTATGGTGTTGTTTTGATTTCACGTTTGTACGTGACAAGGAGTAGGGTTGCCTGTCCTACCTCGTGGGCTTTCTCCTGGTCCTCCGCGCAAACGAATAATTGTAATACAATTGAACCATATATTAGTCCCGAAATGACCTAATTTGTGTCGAGTGGACGTTAAACTCTCTCTCCCTCTCTCTCTCTCTCTCTCTCTCTCTCTCACACAACAGCCACCTTGCAATCAAGTATCCAATGAAAACAAAGATAATTATATTAAAAGCTGTACTGAGATTGACGACACATCATTAGTTAAAAGCTTCTGTTATTTCTTGTGTTCTGTATATTGTCATAATAACATGGCATGCTGAGTATAAAATATATTTATATGTTGAAATACCATAGGAGAGCACCTGTGGGAATATGTTATCATCCATATCAATTAACAGGCTTAATTAACGTCAATACTTGATATGGTCCTTAGTTGAGTAATGACGGATATATAGGTAAGAACATTTTTAAGTATCTTTGGATATTTTTTTCTCATGTTTCTTGGCATAAATACCATATTTTTGCAGTAAACAGAATGTGTATATCGTGTAGATTTGAAGCATCGGTAAATATTATGAATCTTTAAACATGAACCCAGACAAGTCTTACTTATCTACTTATTAGTTCATGGCATATTGGCTAGCAGGATAGACATCCCGAAGATCTAACTTCATTGCATGGTCTTCCTCGTTCAGAACTCAAGACCCGAGGCTATGAATATAGTATTTATTTATATGATTTACTTCAAGCTTTTTGTCTACTAGCTGGTAAATATACCAATAATGTTTTTTAATTTTTTTTAAATCTTGTTACAAAAAGGAGTATTGATTTACGAATCTCGTGGCTATTGTGAAATTTGTTTTCGCTCAGTTCATAAACGTTAAAAATTGGCATTTCAACATCATGGGTGTATAGTCGTTAGAAAAAATTATATATAAGAGATATTGTTAACTACGCGGTCTTTATGTCTCCTGATTTTTAGACAATGCAACCAATTACAAACGCCTAAGAAAATAATGTCGACAGATTTCGCAATCATATTATTGACAATAGGTAGAATAAAACCTTTTAGGTGCATTCTTTTGATTTTGGGGTTGTTTTTGTATCCTCGAATTTACGATGCTGAAATTAAATAAAGTTTTATTATTATTATTATTAAATAGCTTTTTTTTTTATCTTGTCATGTTCTTCCAGTCATTAAACTTAATAGGTGTTTTATCTTGTCATGTTCTTCCAGTCATTAGGCTTAATCTTGACTATGTTTATGTTTTCAAATGTGATTTGTGAATGGTACTTGAACGTTTTAAAACTCTCTAGACAGAGCAGACGTAATTATGTATTATATATGTTTATGGATTTCGCAACAGCAATAAAATAGTTGTTTGTAGGGCATCTATTGCTGAAGAAAGGACAGCATTGAAATAATACAAAATATTATGGATATCAATCACTAGCAACTTTAATAGTGCAACGTTTCGACCATAGTCCACAAGTATTCCCTTATTATCAAGCACAAGGTAAACAATCATTGCTATCCATAAAATTGTATTTACATAAAATAATTGTTTGCAACATCGATTTCTACAACATTATTAAACTTATAATACCGGCACTAATTTTGATGGGTTTAAGTCATTTACAGTTATTGTTACATCGATTATGGATGTTGGTAAATATTATTTCTTTGGATTGCCAAACTTTCCTCTAAATGAACTGCCTAATTAATATATTCTGTATTAATGAAAAAAATTAGAAATGTTATTTGGTGTTCACATATTTCTCGTACTATTCACTGTATGGATTTCGGAAGCCGGAGCTTCTAAAAAATCGATAACTGAGGATCGCTCTCCAATTTCCCGTAACAATAACTGGTTTCCGTCCTCTTTTTTTTTGCATCACTTCCAGATTCTTAAAATCGTTGCTACGGACTAGCCATGGCAACGATATCTATGTTAAAATTATATTTAGAATGTCTTTAACAATTTATGGCACATACTATGTAAAATTGGTTGCCAGCAACACTGTCCCTTTATAAACAAAGAAACATTCATTAATTAATCTATATTTTTTTTTTCTGTTCACCAACAGCTGACAAAAAGTGTATAAATCTATGATCATATAGTAAACACTTTAGAAGCCTCAAGGCATGGACAATGGCTGAATATACACACTTGTTTCTACAAATATTGCTTGTGTGTAGAACTGTATCTGATATTATGGCAAGATCAACACAAAAATGTAAGTATTGTCTTCTTAAATTTTGTGTTTTTTACGCATTTCTCTAATGTTCAGTTAACCCCTATTTGCTGCCCTCTTGAAATATATTCTATTTTACAACTCTCAAATCTATATAATAAGTCTAAAGAATAAAAAAACGAAAGTTGTATCTGTGAAATAATTGAAATTCACTCTATTCATTGTTATATCTCTACATTATTTATTTTAAAATACCTGGCACACCTCATCAATTACAGATCTAGTTTTATTGAATGTATACTAAACATATAATAGGTCATGTATTTAGCATTCTCTAAACAGATAATAACAATTACCTTTATTTAAGTTCAGATTCTTATGTAAACTTTGATAACAATTTACAAGGATATTCCAGGAATTTGTTCTACATTCTTCATAGGTCAAAATGGCACATTGTATATACATGTAATAATTAAAGTGGGTGCAAAATACGATTATAATCGCAATTGATGTTTTAATTTGGAAGTTCTCATACAAAATATAGAAATGTTCTTTTCGAGTGAAATAACGAAACAAAGGGGGGAGGCGGGGGACAGCGTCTAGTCGTTCGGATAGGACGAATAACCGAGGTCCCGTGTACACGTTAGCATGCACGTAAAAGAATCCCTGACAGTTGGAATACGCCGCTGTCTGGGCAAAATTTCCCTCATAGCACACTACATTGCGTATGCCCGTCTTCATTAGCCCTGTTGGTGTGGAAAAATACGACGTTCAACCCCATTCCATTTCATTTTATTTCTATAGCATCGGGTGTTTGTAATGCTTATTCTGTAATGTTAGTTACTAATGTTATAATATATCCAACACGTTGTGCACATTCTATTCAAAAAGTTAGTCCCATAAAATTTCAACTTTTAAATGTCATTGATTCAAATATTACTGAAAACATTAACGAAAAGTTAAAATCACAAAGTTGGCATTATGTTTTTGTAATACAAAACCAGTAAATGAGAATATGCAAAAAATAAAAGCTTGTTTCTTTCATATAGATATAAAATTACACTGTTAAAAATAATAAGGTAGTTTACATCAATTCGGGTGGAAACTAGTTGCCACCTAAATAGGGGTAACTTCGCTTCATTTTACGATATTAAATTGATTCAAATTGAACTGCTGTTGGGCAATTTGACACTCTGTATTAATTTACAATGAATATAAATCATGAGGGAAAATCAATACACATATCCTTACAACTTAGCTGAATAATGTGGTTTATTCATTTATGCATCTCACCTGAATTAAGAATATTTAATTAAGATATAGTACTTCGTAATATTTTAGAATATTTACACGTCTTTAAGTGTAAGCAAGCTAAAATAATCTAAACTGGGGGCGTTATGAACTATTATTAAGATTATTATACATGATACAAAAACACTCAACTTGGAGTACACAAACACTTTTGTAACGCAAGATACGGTGTAAAATTAACACCTTATTCGGAGAAATGTTTCCCTAATAATAATTACACGTGTTGGTAAATGCAATAATACGCTTGTAGAGGTGTAGCTCATCCCAAACACCCTTTAGCGGCTACAATTACACCCTGGTGTTCAGTACTCATGAATATCGATTGTACTTTTGCATAGGATTTATTCCCCAATAATAGTTACACACTTTGGTGTAAATGCAGTATAACACTGGTAGTAGTGTAGCTTATCCAGAACACACCACAATTACACCTATTCAGGTGTTCAGTAGTCGAGAATATCGGTTACACTTGTTATGTGTAGCTCTTTTAGTTGGTTACTTTTAGTTGGTTAAAAGTGTTATATTTTAAAAACGCTAGCTGTGGTGTAAAGTTTACACTTAATTAATACTGCTTATAGTTTTTAATTACACCTGTTTTTAACAGTGCAGCAATAAAAATCACATAGTCTTCCAATATTTATAATGCATGATAAAATCCAATGAGCTATAACTGTAATGGTTAAAAAACAAAATATGCATTAAATATTTTATGCTGAAAACACGACGAACCCATAAAAGATAACACATTTTAGATAAACAATTTTATTATATATTTCTATCTTAATACGTGTAGCCTTTGGCTCCAAAGTTTTCTTCTACCCAGTGTAATTCTTGAGTGGCATTTATCGATTGAGCACGATAAAAAAAACACAACACGATTTATATGGAAAACTATCACTGCCCTGTACGCATATAGCGCGACGTTTCGACAAGTGTTCTTTGGTAGTTATCAAGCAGTCTGAAATCTATGTTCAAACTACCCGCTCCAATCAGCCACAAGAAAGGGCCTGACAAGGACAGCTGTCTAGTCGTTCGGATGGTACGAAAAACCGAGGTCCCGTGTACACATTGGCGTGCACGTAAAAGATCCCCTGACAGTTGGAATTCGAAATAAGAGTAGGCCGTAGTGCCGCTGTCCGGGCAAAATTTCTCTCATAGCAGACTGTATGGCGTATGCCCGTCTTCATTAGCCCAGTTCGGAGCAGAATAGTAGGACGTTAAACCCCATTTCATTTCATTTTTGTTTGATGTTTCTAATACCTTAAAAAGATTAAATTCAATCATTCGTATCGACTTAATGAACGCAATCAAACTGATGGCAATGATAAAGCGTGACTCATAGAACATAATTAAATAAATAAATAAGTAATTTGGAGACATTAATCATCTCGATCTACAGTTGAAAAATGTGTTTCTTATTCAATATGCTAAAAATTTGATGAATAACATTTTTAAGGATGATTAATGATTTGAAATATTTACTAGGCTCATTTGATTGATGATATGGTGTTTTTCAAGGGTTTTTTTTCAATTTATTTAGAATTGTGCAGTTAAGGTTGTAATAACCAAAACAATCTGCTAGAACAAACCTCCCATTATTCGTCATTCTGCACCTCTTATTTTATACCTTTGTTATTTCTTTATATGTCATTATTACAATCTTGTTACGTAGTGGAGATGTCGAGGAAAATCCGGGACCAAATGGTAATATATCTCTCGTGCATCTAAATTTAAGAAGCTTACGCCATAAACTTGACCTTGTTTCCGCAGAATTCTCTGAAAATTTCGATTTGATCTTGCTAACTGAGACATGGCTTGACAAAAGCATATCATCGGACACCCTTTCTATCCCTGGTTTCAATGCACCAATTCGCAAAGACAGGACTACAGGACAGGGGTAGCAGTGTATTCTCGCAAAAAAACATTTTAACAAAACGCAGGTCTGATTTGATTTAGAAACCGACAATACAGAGGGAATTTGGGTAGAAATCAATATTCATAATAAATATTTTTTAATTGGCACCTTTTATAGACCCCCAAATTCCACTGTTCAATTAAATAATTCTATTTTCAAAATAATATCTTTATATTAGGTGATTTTTGACATTGATTTCTTTACAAAATCCAATACTTTTATTCATTCGGCAAATGTTCTCTTCGATTTTAAACAAATTATCAAGGATCCAACCAGACATGGTAATAATGGTAACAATACATTGATTGATCTAATATTAACGAATTTTTCCGGTTATATTTTTGATTCAGTTTGCTTAGATAATTCCTGTAGTGATTACTGCCCTGTGTACTGTCGGTTAAATTTTCATCGTCTGAAATCAATTAGCTTCAGACGTACAATATGGAATTATGATTTTGACCAACTACGAGGTGACGCTGGGAGTATCTTATGGGACTCCACTATTGATACAAATTCTATTGACATTACATGTGCCGCCTTCACAAGCGAGTTAATAAATTTGGCAAGAACACATATCCCAAACAAAACTCCAACCATTAGATCAAAAGAATAACTTTGGATGAACAACACTATTCGGAAAATGAGCAAAAAGAAAAACAAAATTCACCGAAAAGCAGTAAAATCAAACTTGGACCTCTATGGGCAAAAATTTAGAAATATAAGGAATGACTATATTAGCTTGATTAGAAAATGCAAAGAAGAATATTATGAAAAATTAGACCAGAAATTAAATGATAATCAAAATTTTTGCAAAAAGGATTGGTGGCATATAATCAACTCGTTTGTGAAGGGTCAAAAATCAGAAAAGGGGGATATTCCACCTCTTATGAATAATGGGGTTCCATATTTTAATCCGAAGGACAAAGCAAATTGTTTAAATGAATACTTTATTAACCATTCACAGCTTGACTACACAAATGCACAACTTCCTGAACTCGAACAAAACCCATCTTCACTTTGTCACCTAAAGTTAACACCTAAAGAAGTTGAAGACATGATTTCCACTATTGATACTTCAAAAACTACAAGCCCAGATAACATCAGTGGAAAATTCCTAAAATCCATCTGCTTCGAAATTAGTAAACCTTTATGTAACATATTTAATCTTTCCCTTGAGCTAAACACCGTTCCTAATGTTTGGAAATCAGCAAACGGCAATTCATAAAAAAGACGACCCATCACTATGCGGAAATTACAGACCAGTTTCGGTTTTATGCAAGGAGACTCAACTACTTACCAACTAATAGATCTTACGCACGTCTTCTGTCAAGCCATTTACCAAGGTCAATATTCGAGAACGGTGTTCTGTGACACCAGTAAAGCTTTTGACAGAGTTTGGCATTCCGCACTCTGCCATAAGCTTGCGGCCGTTGGGATCAGAGGAGATTTGTTAGAATGGTTCAGAGACTACTTGTCTAACAGACAACAGAAGGTTATTGGCAACGGAGCCTCCTCTGAGCCATTAACGGTCCCTGCTGGTGTTCCACAGGACTCCGTTCTCGGTCCGTTACTTTTCATTATATACATCAACGATATCGTAAACAGCATAAAATCAAACATTAGATTATTTGCTGATGACACTAGTTTCTACATGAAATAACTGACCCAACCGAATGTGCGAAAGTTTTAAATGGTGATCTAGAGAGAATAAATCTTTGGGCTAAGACGTGGCTTGTATCTGAAAACACTAGCACTAGCAAATAAAAAGAATCCATTTCTTTAACACTAAATCTAGACAATGTTGCAATTAAAGAAG